AAGGCTTCCTTGCATTACTTAGTTGTTACCTTATAGCCGCTTTACACAATCAAATACATTCCAGAATAGATTGTTAGATAAATTGATGAATTTCTTCGAGGTAACAGGAAGCGAAATTATATGATCAAATTTATTCAAGTCAAGCATACCACCACATATAGCAAGTTCCTATGATACTAACTCAGGGAAAAATACCAAAACATAGCCTATGTATAATGAACTTAACCAATAAAAAATGACTATTCTTACATATTAATATTATATACATAGAGTTCTATAATATAATATATAGTATCATATGTCTTGGTGTTGTATTATGATTGCGTTTAGGCACAGATATAGGCTCAAACAGTAAGTGCCGAATGCTGTTGTTGTTGTTAAATATCTTGATTAGCGGCCTTTTTCCATACAAGGCCTCCTTGCCTTTCTTAGTTGTTAACTTATAGCTAATTTACACAATCAAATATATTCACGAATAAATTGGCAGAAACATTGAAATATAGCAACTTCCTAAGATACTAAACCTCAGGGAAAAAATACCAAAACATAACTGAACCCAACCAATAAACAAATCACAGTATTCTTACGTAATAGGGAGTTATTGAACGTTCAATAAAGCCAGGCACTAATAATTCCTGACCGTATTTGACATCTGAGCAGGCGCAGTAAAACAAAAATAAGACTTGGAATTAATAAAGTTAGTGCGTATCACTATTACAGGATGCTTAACCTTCTAGATACTACACTGGCATGGGGTACTGCGGTACCCCAACTTGTTTTTGAATTGAAAAGAAACAATATGCTGGAACTTTTCTAACAAAAATATGTTCAAACGATTTTCTTAGTGCTTTTATAATAAAACAAATACTTTCTTAAAACGCTAACATATTTATATAAAAACCTAACTAATCAGATCTCTGAAGTTATAATCTACCAAAAGCATTTAATCAGTGTCACACTCAGTTTCTATTTCCCTGCCATTAAGGCAATTACTGCATACCAAATTTTGGTGAATTCTACATTTTATTTTCCGTTGCCTACTGGCCCTGGAACTTTCAATATAACATTATGAGCCTTTGTTCTTGACGTAGGTGGTATCCTCTTATTCCATTTAGTTTCTTTATCTTTTCCCAAGAGATATGGACCAACATTTTTTACAGAATCTTCTTCACTTATATTTGAAATATCAGCTTCATCTGTATCTTGTACTTCCAAGTTACCTGTTTCTTGCTCCGATGCATCATCTTCACCATAAAGTTCTTCGTCGTCACTGTCAAGAATTTCATTATACCATTTCATCAATTGCTGTGGGTCTCTACTTGAAAAATTTGCCATATTTTTACCCGCAATAAAACTAATAAATTGCAACAAATCTCAGAAATTAAACAAAAATACCCTTACTTTTTTGTTACTCCGATGCCCGTGAGGGGTATCTAAATACCCCAATCAAGTTTCGACTCGGTGCTTACGCACAACGCGAACTCGGATTGCAGCAAACTCTTAACACAAGCTTGTGCATAGTACACTCGAGAAATAGACGAAACTCTATGCTGATCGTCATTTCTCCCGCTCCAGTATAGACAGAAATATTACTAGTGGGGTATTCAGATACCCCGCGCGAGTACTAGAAAGTTAAAATCGTGGCACAGTCTATTTCTCGAGTATCCATCACGGTTTGACGTCTACTGAGGTGACAATTTCTGTGTTAGTCTGCAGCGTTGACAATAATGAATCGACTGTAAATCTAGTATAACTTGTTTGCAGCGTTTTGTTTTTTATATGCAAATACACTTTTCTAAACAAAAGAGCTTTTAGAAAGTAAAAAATGAATCTAGCGTACAAAAAAAAAACTAATATGGCTCTATCAACCTGGCATTGACGGATCCGTCAGAATTATGTGTCCTTTGCCGATATGGGAATTTCGAAATATTACTAGATAATCAGCCAGATGGATACTCGTGAAAAAACTATGTTTTCTTCTTTTTGTGCGAATAACCTTACTTTTTGGATGTTCTCGCAGATAAAAAAGATTATATACGGAAAGTAGTTTCCTTTGTCCTTTTCTCGCTATTACTTTGTACTGTTCGCAGATTATAAGTTCAATTGGTGAAAATCATGGACCCTCTGGACGTAAAATTCAAATCTAAGACTGGTATTCACCTCCAAGGAGTTGCAAAACACGAAGAAGTACAAAAACAATAGCGAAGCTATAATTAATAAGATATTGGAGTTGAATCGGTCTTTGTACATTTTAACAAGATAAAATTTCCCTTTATCTCCATATTTTTAGATTAGAAATGTCATCAGTGCACCGAAATGCACCCAACACCAATAACCTCCCAATAACTCTAATTCAATTCTGAAACAATTTCAAGGTCAGTCTCGACTTTTCATTATCTTTTTTACGAGTATCCATTACGGTAGAATAACAGAACAGCTGATTATTATCCAGTAATATTTCAAAAATCAAAATTCCCATATCGATAAATGACACATCTGTCAATGCCAGGTAGACAGAGCCGTATTTTATTTTATTTTTTTGTAAGCTACAGCTTCATTTTGTGCTGGCTAACAACTCTTTTATTTAGAAGAGTTCATTTACATGTAAAAACGCTTAAGCCAGCTTTAATAGATTTACTTCCGATTCATTATTAGCAACGGTACATACTACAAAGATGTCACTTGCTGATCAGCTGTTTACCTCAGTGAAATAGGGTCTACTCATATTTCATTGACAGTCTTGACAGTAGGACGTAACAGGAGGGTTGTCAAATATCTTAATTAGCGACCTTTTTCTATTTCAGGCCTGCTTAGTACGTTAACTTATAGCCGCTTTACACAGTCAAATACATTAACGAATAAATTGTTAGAAAAATTGATGAATTGCATGATCAAACATACTCGAGTCAGGCATACCAACACATACAGCAACTTCCGAAACTCAGGGAAATATACCAAAACATAACCAATGAATAATGAACGTAACCAATGAAAAAACGACTAGTGTTTTTGCATACTGATTGTCTCGGTTTAAATAATAATCCTAAATTGAAACCAAAGCGCCAAGCCATTGTACTTTTTACTCTCAAATAACGAAGGTTGGTATCTAAGAATAAGAACCAAAGGTAACTAGAGGCAAAATTAAAATAAGCTCTGATCTGGCAATTTACTCATGAATTCATTGTTGTGAAGAAATTGACTGCAATTTTTATGTTTACATGTTCCAACTTCTTCAAGGCTAAAAATTGTTCAATATTTTAGGTTATATAACATATATAAAAAGTACGTGTAAACGTCAATTTCAGGGACTGTGATGAATGTCATCACTGCCTCTCAGGATCTAGTTCATTCTAAGTAAAACACATAAATAATAGTCACACATTTATTTTCAAATACTATTAAAAAATTAGATTATCTGTAAGTGTATATGTATAATATATAATAAATATTTGTCGTCATATAACATTGCAATCTTTGTGAATTCTATGCATTTCCCAGATACATCAAACCCCTCTTTTTAATATAAAAAGGCGGGGTACACTATAATGATAAAAATAAAATCTCTTCTACTGATAAAAGATGCCATAACATCACAAAAACTAGGTAGCTTAAACTAATTGCAGGATTATCATCTTTACACGGAAAATGCATAATGCACACAACAACAGGGTGATTTGAAATGATCTTTTTGCTTAAACATGCTTTCTTATAATTCAGTTATTAACACATATTTGGATCACTGTGATGTTGAAATTATCCAATCCATCATTCATATAAAAACGTTTAGCGCTTGCTACATAAAATAATGTAATCAAAGTACGTTGTCTCAGTACTTTCCTTGCAAAAACAAAATGGTCAGTGCGTTAAAAAATGTTAAACAATGCGACGGTATGTTTCAACTACGCAAAAAAATCGAGGTTTGACGTTTAGGATTCCTTTATTTTCCGCCACTGTACACTAACTTTCCAAATCTGCAGTGCGTTTTTGTCAGAATTTCATCAAAGTAAAAGTGAAATATGGGAGGTCAAAGATTAACTACTGGCCTAATGCATACATGGCCGGATTTTTTGTGACCTACAATGGTCATATATTGTCAAATAAAATTTGAAATTTTTTGCGATTCCCATACTGCCCTCACTTTTTGAGAAAAGTAGGAGAACAAAGTTATGCTACAATATACTGACAGCAAATTTACAGGCCAACAAAATTACATATTTATTAAAGTGATGAGAGCAAATGCAGATATTTCCATTCGGTCATTTCACTATAATTACGTATTTCGCAATGTTGAATAATTTACAATTGAGTTACAAAGATAGGCGAAACTGAATGAATCTTCGTGATATTACATCACCTAAGCTTTGTATGTCAATTTCGAAAAATTTCACTTCGCCTAGTCAGCCATGGGATTATATTTGGTACAGTTCACATAGCATTTAAAAGATCTGAGTATAATCATAGGTACCAATGAAAGGGGTAAGTGCTTGTAGAGAGGGTTAGGACCCTGACTTGCAAGATAAATGCTTGTTAGTGTCGATAGTTGCAATGGTTTATTTCTGAAGCATTTATCCTACTGATGAAATATCCAGCTTGTCTATGGAAATTGCTCATGAAGTATTTACTCTGAAGAGAGAGAGGGAGAGAAAGCCATAAGAGGCACAATGCGTGTGCCGCTTACTGCTTAATATACTTTTTTAAATATGAATTACCGCTATTGAATATCTTAAATATCGATTGCACTGCATAATTCAATGAAATTTTGACAGTGCAATAAGTAGTTCTCACATCGTGATGTCATGAAAACAAATGGGTGTAGCAGTCGCACCAGCATGTAGCACACCGTCGAGCAACGCTACGCTGTGAAGTTTTGGTTTAAACTAGGAAAAACTTGAACTCTTCAAACAGGTTTATGGGGATGATGCCTTAAGGCTCGAACCGATGCTCAGGTGGCCAAAGTGAAAAAATGTTTGCACTCGACCGGCGTTTAAGCCCAGACTGACTTTCTTGTTTCCGCGAATAAAAAGATATCTCAAAAGACATCGGTTCGACTCCATCGAGGCTGTTCAAGCGGCGACGACAAAGACTCTCACAGTATTCCGGAAACCGACTTCCAGCGGGCTTTTGTCGAGTGGCAGACGCGCCGAACTAAGTGTATCGATGCAGGAGGAATGTATTTTGAAAATTGTAATTATACCTGTGATAAATTTTGATTTTTGGAACCAATCCCGATACTTATGGAAGGAAACCTGTACATCATGAGTTAATGGCGAATTTAAATTATTATGGCATAGATCCAATTGCATTGGACTTTTTTTCGTAGTTATATATCAAATCGATCGCAGTCTGTGTCATATGATAACAAATCTAGTTTCCTAAAAATCGGATCTACATTAGACTGGGAATTTCTGTGAACACCAGTATTTCGCGGACGATACTCAACTGGTTCAATATGTTGATACTGATGAAATAAAAATGGCGCAGAGATCAATAAACCATGATATTAAAAAGTGTTATCAATTTTCGAATAACCACAACCTGTCAATGAATCCTAGTAAATCCAGAATGATATTTTTTGTTCAGATCGTAAAAGAGAATTAAAAGTCAACTAGCTGTTAAAATTGGATCTCAAAGACTGTACCCGGTTAATGAGGTTAAAATTCTTGGCGTAATAATCGATTTTAAACTTATTGTCCAGTCATGTCAATAACCTTTTAAAGAAAATCTATTTGAGACTGAGAGCACTATATGGTAATAAAGCAATTTTTCATTTCAAACTATGATATATTATCCGTGTCTGGATGTTACAACTAGAACTCAGGTTCAAATTGTACAAAATAATTGTGTTGGTTCATCTGCGGATTAAGGTGCTTTGACAATGTTTCTGGTAGTATAGAACTAAACCGGATAAAAATATTGTCAAATATCATTACCTTGTATTCATTCATAAACTAATACGTATGTCCAAGCCTATATACTTGAGAGGAATGCTGGTATTTAGGAATATACATGATAGACATGTTAGATTTTACAATATTATAACTGTACGTCTTCACTCCACAGCTTCATTTCAGAGCGTTCTTTCACGAACAGTGCTGCAGTTTTATACAATGCTTTGAGAAGATTTGTGTACATACCGTAAATATTTATCTATTTTTTTGTTTTTGATTGCCACCATTTGCAACTTTTTTTTCTGTATGGAGTTGAACAGTTTCATTGAAGACGATTACTATTATTATTATTAATAGTCGGTATCTGGCAATCAAAGCTGTCAAAATTTCTTTGATTTATACAGTGTCACTCAAGGGCTATTTACTTTTTTTATAAATAAGAAAGAATTTCTTCATTCTATTCAAAATCACCCTGTACTACCTCATTAAAACTAATCAAAGGACAAAACTGCTGATTCTTAACTAAAAACACAACAAATTAAGACTTTCCAACGTAGATATATGTATATAAATTTCAAGTAACGTATATACCATAACACAGACTACCAATTACAATCATATTCATATCCAATAAAAATATTAAAAATATAGCGTCTAATCAGAAATATATATGTACACATAATTAAATATATACAGGTTGAAATGGCAGTTGATGAGCTATTCGTTATTTCGTCTACAAAATGCAAGTGACGACCATACATGATAATATTCTTCATTACTATGATGAACGAGAATTACAGGTGATGAGCATTACATTTAACGTCTAAATAAAATGAATGATAAGAAAAACTTACAAGAGAAATTGTCGGTTACATAAATTGAATAGATATATTGAAACAAATATTAAGTTATTAGAGGGTTTTGGCAATCACAAATACTGTACTATATAGTCTTTTTCACGAGTATCCATTACGATAGAATGACAGCTGATTATTTAGTGTTATTACAAAATTCCCCATGTCGCCAAATGGCATAGTTCTGACGGATCCGTTCAAGGCCAGGTAGACAAAGCCGTACATATATTGTATTGGTTTTTTGTATGCTAGATTCATTTTGTACTTGCTATGAAGTATTTTATTTATAAAAGTTCATTTGCGTACAAAAAAGAGGCTACAAGCAAGTTACTAGTTTTGCACCCGATTCATTATTGCCAACGGTTACAGACTAATACAAAGATGTCACTTGTTGATCAGCTGTTCATCTCAGTAGAGAGATACGTGATGGATACGCGTGAAATAGGGTATATGTAAACATTAATAATAACCTATAATTCCCTGACTTCTTACACCTTAACTCGAAGTGATCGGATACAACCAAGAATGTACCAAGTGTTCATGAATTTACAGATGTCTTTGCCTTCATTACATAAAGGATCCCGATCATTTAATATAGGTACTTTGTATATCATTGTCGTTTAATCAAATTTTCAATGGCACTGGACAATTTGTAGTGCATTTTTAAATCACCATGTTGTGGCGACTGGGTATAAATCAGAGTTTTAATGATTACGTTAACGTAGGAAGGATCAAACTGGCGTATTGAGAAACAACCTCTTGGTTTGGTCATATGTTATTCAGACCGCTCACTAAACATTCTTATAGACTCACCAGTACAGTAATATCTTGGATATAATCCACAGGCATCAATTATATACCTGTTAAAAAAATAATAAACTTTTTTCCCAGTTTCTCAATTACTTTTTCCTAATAACCCCAGTTATAGAATCTATGTTGCTTTATCGTCGTACATGCCGCATGCACTGCTTATAATTGTAATATAAAAATCACAAGATGTCTATAACTTTGTTATATAAAATACAAAACCAGAAAATAATATAAATAGATATCTAAAACAAAGGTGGTATTCATCAGACCGAAGCGCTACTCGGCCAATCACAGCTTTTGACATTGCTATGTTCATATACTCGTATGAATCGATTAAGGTCATCGTCAATAATCGCTCCAACAGTGATCTTTTCTAATAAACGCGACTAATCTTTTCCGTCAGCGTATCATTCTCATTTACTCAATAAACCTGCAATTCTCATAAAAAGTGTCTGACCTACTATACACTAGCCGCAATGTCTGTCTGCAGGAAACAGCTAAGTAACCTCTGGTAAACATAACTATAAAGGCTTGGAGTGCTAGATGTGGGGGGAGTCTCTTGTTTCGTGTCTGACGCCTTGGTTGTATTAACAGGAAACTGAAAACCAAAAATATTTCATTACATACCATTGTGGAGAAGTATGCCATTATTAGCTGGGCAATTTTATTTCTTGCTATGCGTAGCGCCGATAAATATAATGTTCGGAGTATATATAGAATTTTTTTAACTATTATTATACAGGGTGGTCCATAAGTCCTTTGAAATTTCAAATTTGAATAAAATTTAACGGGTGAGCGTGAGCGGCGCGGGCGAGGTGGGGGCAGTATCTTCAGTGTCTGGGAATTCAGTCGCCATGGAGTGTTTCACTGGAGCGGATCGTGCTTTTTGTGTGCGCGCGTTTTATCAAAATAATGATTCGGCAACCATTGCGCGGCGTAAATATCGAGAATACCACAATTTACACAATTTTACAAAGTGTCCAACAGCTCAAACGATTAAGAACTGGGTTGCTAAGTTCGAAGAGACTGGTTCGACGTTAGATAAACAGCGGTGGGATCGACCAAAGACAACTCGTATTGAAGAAAACATCAACATTGTGGCACAGTCTGTTCGTCAAAATCCTACCCAGTCTACTCGTAAGCGTTCCAGTGCACTAAACGTACCCAGAACATCTTTACAGCTGATTTTAAGGAAAGATTTACGTCTGCACGCTTACAAAATTCAGTTAGTGCAGGAATTAAAAGATAATGACGCTATTCAGAGACTAAACTTTGCGAATGAAATGTTGAATCGATTTTCTTCGCTCAATAATGTATTGTTCTCGGACGAGGCTCACTTCCATTTAAACGGGCATGTAAATAAACAAAATTGCCGTTATTGGAGCCCCGAAAATCCAAGGAGTAAGCATCAGAAGCCCTTACACAGCCCTAAAGTTACAGTTTGGGCTGCTATGTCAGCGCATGGCATCGTAGGCCCTTATTTTTTTGAGGACGACCGAGGTCGCGCATTAACTGTTACTTCGGAGCGGTATGTAGCAATGATAGAAGAGTTTTTGACACCAGCGTTGCAGAATTTTCCAGGCTATAATACGCAGACCTGGTTTCAACAGGACGGAGCAACTGCCCACACCTCCAACACTTCTATGCCCGTCGTCTGTCAACTTTTTCCCAGCAAAGTAATTCCTCGAAGAGGAGACATTTCCTGGCCACCACGTAGTCCAGATTTGACCCAATGGACTTCTTTTTATGGGGCTACCTCAAGAGTAAAGTGTACGACACCACTCCGCGATCAGTTGATGTCCTGAAAGAAAATATCCGAAGAGAAATGGCAAGCATTACAGTGTTGACTTGCCGCGCAGTGATGGACAATTTTAGACGTCGTTTATATGAGTGCCGTGATCGTAATGGATTGCATTTAGACGATGTGATTTTTAAAACATAATTCCCATTCAATAAAGATGATAACAAAATATAATAATTCTTCATAATGTAACTAGTTTGGTTTTATTCCTTTTTTAACCAGCTCAAAGGACTTATGGGCCACCCTGTATTTAATTGATTTTATTAAACTTTCAAATATGGCATATCGGGGAATCCGGCCCTTCCTTCAGCACACAATTAAATGAAAAGATATACATGCTGCAATATTCAACACAGATGTCAGGTATCGTGTGGGTAAACCAGGCTGATTGTTTGTCAATCTATTTGAAAAAACAGCACATCGAGCACGAGCAGTAACAAATTAGAGAATTTGTTGTAAGTTCAAAGTGTCTTCAACATGGCGTGACTTAGAATTTCTCATCATATAGCAGTGAACACTTCCCCACTTTTATGTTTACTTTTTCGCTGTTGTTTCGATCGTAGTTATTTCTGAAAAAGAAAATCCTAACTCTTGGGACACCTTATATAAATTGCGTCCTGAAAGTTAGCTGATATGAATGGACCATTATAACTAAAATATTCAGCGTACCACTAAAAAACTATTCTCGCTAAAAGCAACTCTACGGCCAGTCGACTTCAACTCGAGATTTCGATTGCTGGTAGCATTGTTTCCGCATTCCACTGAATAATGGACAGTCTCTTTTTGAGATTGTATATGCAGGCATTGAATATACTTACTAATAAGAAAGTGGAATATGAAAATACTTTAGATTCTTAAAAGCACCGATTGAAAGACGCAAGTAAAATCCAGCCAAAGCAATCAACGTATGTAGTACGTTTTTATCTACCAGAAAAACATAACAAATATGTCTTCGCATCTTGATGGTCTTAGCTAAATTACTTTATGAGTGAATTTCATATTATACATCGGAATCATCTTCGATCAAACAGAAAAGTAACATGAGCACGAATAATCACACTTTTGAACTTGCCTAGAGTTATGTATAGGAGCATCATCTTGTGGACACCAATAGCTATTAACCTGTGCCAAAGGTAAATTATCCAGATAGTCTTCTAGATCATGTTGCAACAAATGAAGGTGCCGTTATGCAGTTAATGAGTTGTAAATAAATTGACCTAATATTTTGGTGCCTAGAATTCCACACCACCCACAACCCGCAGATTTTTTGAGCCCAGTAGTGAGAGTATTGCGGCGATTGAAGATACCGTTTTTAGTAACCATATTATTTTTGAAGGGGAATTAAATTCATCTTTACATGTTCGTGTATATCACTCACAAAAATGCTGGCGCCGTTCGCTATTCCCTAGTCTAAGTCCTTGGCAAATTCTGAATTTCTAGGGGTAATATCTGTTTTTACTCAAAATAAATTGGGCTGTGGATTTGGCTACTCCTACATTTTTCTTAGCAACTGCTTGTGAAATACTATTCTGAGCTTCCTCTAAAGATTCCTTTTTTCGAGGTGTAACAGGTTTTTTGAATGAACCATATTTTTTTCGAGCCAACTCTAAGAAAATGGCCTTCTTTCTCAAGAAACATTTATGCAGTATCATTGTAGCACGCCAGCTTGTGGAACTTTTCTTCATTGCTAAAATGACCGCCTGGCATCTTTGTCGATAATAAAGCAATATTAACAATATACAATAATAACAATACTCGGTGACAGGTATTTTCGTCAAGTCAAGCACTTGTTTGCAACGTCAACTTCAAAAAAATAATGAAAAGAAGAAAGAAAATAAATGTAACATGTGATACGTCGTTGAATTCGTATAAAAAATGCTATTAGATACAGGGTGTACTTTTTTTCGGACCATAGAAAAAAAGTGGTGAAAAACGAACCATCGGGCACAAAACTTGAAAACACCATCCTGTAGTGTCTAAAAGGAGCCAATGGAAAGTTTCATCAGTCAGGAAAAAAATTGATTTGGCCAAATTTTAGTGTTTCCCAAATATCTCGGTAAGCCATGAAATGTTTCTCAACGGCATGCAAATACGCCCCAAAGAACGCAACTTTTTACTAATGTAACAAATAGTTGGGCGAGTCCCCTACTCACCAGGGCTTAATTGCCGATCTCTGCTTTTACGCGAACCACTGTCGCACAAGCCGCCTGGCGGCGTCTGTGAGGACCGTGGCAGTGGATCGCCTTCTAGATCGACGCGAAGTGATCTCCAACATTCTAGATGTCGCTCTGTGGCGGTAACTGGGACTATATATAACTCGGCGGCCGGGAGATGGAGGAAGAGTACGGAATACGGTAGAGTAGAAGAGCGGAGTGAGGTATAGTGCAGTCAATGGTGGCATAAGAATTAGTCAGACATAAATAGTGGTGTATATAAATGATTTATCAAGTTAAATAAATCAGTGCATTTCTTTTTGTGGAATCCAGTGTTTTAATCCATACCCAAAATAACCCAGAAAAACGCTACACTAATTTAACCTAAGCTCTATCTTCGACAAGTAATGAGATCCCCATTCATAGGATGCTTAACTTAAGTTTTTTACGTAATATCAATGGGGGCTGCCGTAGGGTTACGAGTTGCTTTCAGTAAAAACGGTTCCTGACACTGACGTATAAAATGAACTAATAAATTATTGACCCTACCTCGAGATGTTCCTCTAGTTACTTTCTTGGAGAGAACTTCGGATTGACAGGGATATGCGTGAAACTGCGTAATTCGTAACTCATATCAATTCCATGAGCCGTTGCAGTATCCATGTCGCTTTTTCTAAATATTATCATTCTTATATCAGTGTGTAGATAGATCTTTCCTGATTTAGAACTTTGGAATCTGAAAAAATACAGTTATAGTTTAATAATAATAAAATCCTCTCCACCAAACAAATACGTTATTTCGATAAGTTCTACATATTTTAACCCTTACACTGCCTTTAAATTGTCGTATCACGTAATGGAGTCCAGAGAGTACGTACCAACAACATGCTTTAAGCAGGTGTAAGAATGTATCTGTGCGATATTTATCTTTCTATAGCATAATGGGGTACGACAATCCAGTCAGAAACATACCAAAACATGCGCTTATTACTCCAAAGCATAAAATACGAAGATCATAAGTGGATATCTGTACCGATCTCAAAGTTATTGCACTGCTCACAGGACTGCAGAATGGCTTCACAAAATATTGTTTTTTATGTGAATGGGACAGCAGAGCCAGAAACCAACATTATTTAGTTAAACATTGGCCGGTACGTGAGAACGTTGTGCCCGGCCAGAAAAATGTCCTTAGTAGATCAGCAGAAAGGTAATTTACCTGTTATGCACATAAAACTAGGGCTTATAAAAATTTTCCTGAAAGTCTTAGACAGAGAGGGAAATGCATTCCTTTATTTGAGAAGGAAATTCCCGCGTATAACTGACCCAAAGAAGGAATTTTCGTTGGACCTCAAGTACGAGAACTTTTTAAGGACCACGATTTTAAAACTACACTTTCGAGGAAGGAAAAAGGGCATGCCTTCAAAAATGTATGTAGCAACTTCCAAGCTGCAAAAAGTCGGACAACTACAAAGATCTAGTTGAATTTGGGTACAGCGCTATAGTTTAAAATGGACCGCAAACATGCTGGCGGACTACTTCTGTACCATTAAACGTGAAACCGCTCCTGGCAAATACAAGCGAAAACAGACCAAATAAATTGTTTGATTTTTTTTATACAATAAGAGGTTCTTATTTTATCATTTCTGATCGGTACTGCAATACAACCAAACAATCAGGGTCTACAATAGGGATTTTATACACTTTCAACAAGACGTTTTTTTTTTATTTCAGTATTTGAATATTTTTTTTGCAATTTGACCAAAATTCACCCATTTTTAAATATTTAACTTAACCCATTTTTAAATATTTAACTTAACGTTTCATATGAGCGCATGATTACCAACGCTGTATACTTCAAATCGATAATAATAAAACATATTGTGCTCACATTAAAAATTTAACTTTAGTTTTTATTGTGAGCGCAGTAGACTATATGCTTTCATTTTTATATGTCTTGCTATGTTTTATTGTAGCTTTGAAGGATAAAGTAGAAAATGTAATGCGTATGTTCTAAAATACTTCAATGTAAAAATTCATAGATGTGATCAACTGGAAAACCCTGATCCTTTCAACAGCATAATAACCAGTTGGGGTCTCACATGGTGTCCACTTAAACTCATTTAGATCAACCTAGTCCTAATAAAACATTACCATTTTTTATTACGAGTTGCACTGCAGTCGATCCCCAAAATAGTAGTAACAAGTATCTAAAAGTAAAGTGATCTGAAAATTTATATCTACTCTCAGAATCACTATGTTTTCAAAATGGCGTAGGCATACTGGATAAGTCATTGTAAAAGTGGAGTAACAGTTTATAGTGCTTTATTTTCGAAAATGATTACATATCCACCCCAAATTTAATTTTTTTATTTCTTTTACTCAAAATGACCAGTTCCTGACGAGGGAACCGACAATTTATAAAATCTTAACCTCCGTTTAACACAATTTGGAACATCCTGGCAATATCAGAGCGCAGTCAATTTTTTTTTTAAACTAAGAATAAAAATGGCGTCAAGAAGATTGACTCTGCACTTCCCACTTCATAACAGATCAAGTTCAGCTCAATTTAAATTCTCGGAAAGAATTGAGTTACGGATATGTACAACAGAGAAATTGAACGTATTAAGCCAGTCAAACAGGCCCATAAAATTAGTCCATCGACATTCCTTCCCTGTCCTACTGTAGTTACCGACCATATGGCAACGTTGTCCCTTCCCACAACTGAGCGATATCGCTGTACGGGTAAATCTATGATGTGTTAAATATGGCTAATAGGTATATAGAATTACCAGGGTTGGGAGCGTATAAATATTATAAGATCAACAAAAATCATATACCTTCCGCCACCCCGTATGATACCCAACCCCCAAATTTCAAGCGGCTTTTGTTTTTTTTTTTTAATTTTTGGCCGTCTCCGCCGCCACGACCGATTTTCAAAAACTATAAAGCTTTTACGTCCTTGGCTTAGTAGTAATATTGTGTACAAATTTCATCAAAATCCGGGCGGTACTTCTCAAATTAAAGAGGTTATAGATTAGCGGACAGACCGACGGAAATGACTGACATTGTTTTTCGTGATGTACATGTCATATAACATCCAAAAATATATCTCATTTTCGCGAATTAAATACCTTCCAGTAGGCGTAGGAAGTAAAAATTGCTCTTTAGTCACATTAAACATTTTTTCTCAAATACAGTATGTTCGATAACATATTTTTTTATTTATTAGTAAGTCCATAGTCTGGGCACAAATGATTTTGATGCGTGAGAGGTACAAAGTCAATTTGCATCACCCATTTTGTTCAAGCAGTGATCAAAATCAAGCAAATGTAAATTAAGAGCTTAGATTTTCAATATATTGTAAGATATTACTAAAAATTGTTTTACCTGAGATGGATGAGATATCGAAGCCATTTTGGTCCCCATTCGATATTTGTGTCTTTGCAATTCATCGGCATGTACAGCGTTCTCTGACGTATAAACGTCTGAGAATTCGGAGGCATGTCTGATAAATCGTACATGATCACAAACATCTTGATCACAGTGCCCAAAGGATTGAATAATGTTACTTGCAGTGTGCCTCTCTTCGGAACGTTGTAGCCTTTCTTTCCCAAGTTGATATGGCCCTAAAATAGGATAAATATAGCAATGTTTGTGTTTACTGCATTAGTGTAGATCTGGATATCAATGGTCATGTCTATGTCGTGGCAATATCGTAAAATTGAATATTTCATAAAATGATCGAGTATTTCATGAAATCGTCACATTTCATGGAATGAATATTTATGAATATTTACATGCCCACTCTTTGAACAATAAAACCTTTAAAAGTTTGCCATCTAAATGAGCAGTTATTTCAATGTAGCACTTATACGTTTAATTCCTAGGGAAAAAATATTTAAGGCATAACAGTCCTAAATTCGAAATATCAATCGTTCGTTTTGTTGTTTCAATATTGTGCCAAAATAAATAAATTTATTTAATCCATCATATAAGAACAATAACAACATAGAATGGGTAAATAAATCTTTCAATACACAGGACAATGCCTATACATGGATCAGTAGTATGCTAAAAAATATACATCAAAGAGATGTATGATGCAGAGAATGATAATTTTTCAAGAAATATATGTTAGGAATACAATATGTTGTCTTCCTAGTACGCGTATCCCTTAATAATTTCTTTTTAAAATTATGTGTAATTCGAAATTAAGTCTTTGGGGACGTATTCATATAATTTTGGTGCCAGAGAAAATATCGCTTCATTATGGTCCTATGCGGTTTAGGGAAAGCTTTTGCTCGTAATTTATTTCGAGTATAATAATATAATAATAAATCGTCTTTATTTAGTATCATGGCAATGTGTGATTTTATCGCGCTCACTGACAACTTTGTGATAATGGCTGCTAGTGTGTAAAAAATAAAGGTGCTTGATATCAAATAATTTTGTTTCGTTATATAAATCATTTGTTGAATATAATTTTAGTTTTCAGAACATATAATTTGAAACTTGCAAAACTTCTATGTCGGTTATATAATCTGGACATACTTGCTAATATACCATACATTAGGTGCGGCTCAATTAAGGCATCATATACAAGGTGTCCAATAAGTACCATGACAAACTTAAGGAGAAGGTAGGCTTTAGACTGACCTCCCAAATAACAAAAATTTACCTATATAAAAGTGCCACCATTTCTGAGATATTGCATTTTTCCTTGAATTTAAAAAAAACGAACCTTTTCATCTGTGGACTTTAGCTGCATGTACAAATAAGGTAATACTTTGTTCATTTTTTTCTATAAAATACACTAGATAGTTGCTTTATCATATACAAACGCAATGTAGTTAAAAGATATTAAAGGAACCATGACTATTTTGGGATTTATAACCTTCTGATATTTTTTCCTCAACTTTGACCATATATGGTGAAACAAAAATGTACTGGGCTATAACTGCATTATATTGCATAAAAAGATTGGAATAGAAAAAAGTGATAGCTGCTTTTGCAAGTGACTGACGCACACTACAATGAAATTATTGGATTTAAATTCAAGTTGCACTGGTTACCGAGCAGTGACATGCTAAATAGTACAAAGTTACATTATTATTACCTGCTCCTGATATGATTTTATGAAAGTTGAGGAAACAATATCAGAAGGTTATAAATCCCAAAACAGTCCTTATTTTATCATGGTTCCTTAATATCTTTTAACTACATTGCATTTGTTTATGATAAAGCAACTATCTAGAAGTATTTTATAGAAAAAGTGAACAAAGTATAACCTTATTTGTACATGCAGCTAAAGACCACAGATGAAAAGGTTCGTTTTTTTTAAAATTTAAGAAAAAATTCAATATCTCAAAAACGGGTGACACTTTTATATATTTAAGTTTTTGTTTTGGGAGGTCAGTCCAAAGCATACCTTCTCCTTAAGTTTTTCGTGGTATTTATTGGTATAGTACGCATTTAATTTTGTCAATATGCCTGTGAGGAATTTAATTTTATATGTAACAAATCTTATTTCCTTCAAATGTAGGCCCCACCACAAAAGTTGGTCTAAAAATTCCTAAGTATTTGATGTTGTCCACTCTTTCAATTTTGGTGATTACCGGCTTGTATCAAAACAAAGCGGGCCCAACCTGCCACACCATTATTGACTTTAATTTTTTTCTTCTACACAGAAAAAAGTGATGATCTTCATAGATGACTTGAAATGCAGTCGTGATCATTTTTTTATACCGAAGCAACCGCGCAGGCAGAAGCCCAAATGCCGGGACACCGCGACTACTATGAGGATCCCAAAGAACTTGTGAACTGCCTTAGGTTAGTGAACTGGGAAAAGCTTTATCGTGTAGATTCTTCCACAATCTCGACACCCTCTGGTCAAAGGAGGGGCCGTATCGTCTAGTTCTGGATGTACGAAGTTTGACACGGTTAGGATGGGAGGCCAAATTCAGGCGGGTCTGTCTGACAAGTACATCGAGCGGCGGCATCATGGAGGAAAGCTCTGAGAAGCAAAGCCCGTTGGTGTAGCGGTAGAAGAGAGCTAGATCGCCGGCGGCCCGCCAGTGCGAGAGGGCTCCGATAATGTCTAGTAGAGAAAAGTCGTCGATCAGTCAGACAGCGCTCCTCTGCACAGCATCGAGCATAAATAATGTAGTCGGGGGCAGTAGCACCCCAAACGTATGAGTAATACTCGAGGCTAGGCCTTATCTGGGCCTTGTATAGAGTGAGAAGGTCATGCGGAGAAGCCGGCAAAATTCCATAACTGCTTTATGCAAAATAAACAAAAGCGTCAGCCTCGTTAGGAAGAAGAGGTATGCCTCTGATACTTGACGAAATGATGCATTTTTGAATGCCACTGAATGACCAGTTATTTATTAATTGTCACATTTTCACAAAATAATGTACATAGGATCTAGACTACACATATTTTGGAACATGCATATTCAATAAATATTTGTCCTGATTTCCAGTACCATACACTCATTAAATCAAGTTAGTAGAACTAAGAGTTGAAATATGATTTCACTCTAACATTACTTACAAGGTACGGAGCTGAGACTTTATCGTTGTCACCCAACGTGTAGAAAAATACTGTAACTGGAAGAACGAGATGTTTAGGAACGAAGGATCCGCTTGCCCCTAACTCTGCCGTAAATCCATGGACGGTTGATACTGGTTCCAAACGACCGTTTAGAACTGATTCCTCAAAGCTTCCTATATTTACAAGATAAAAAAAAATATCAAACAAAATAATAAGAGATGAAAATTAATATAGGAGGAATATAGGAGATAATTGTAAATAACTTAATGTAACTCGAATATTTGCGTTGGTCTTACATATCTTCACACAGATTAGCTAAATAAATTCAATCATAACAATTGTTTCACTGTATCAAATGATATGCTTTATGATATGGTGAACGTTGTGCGCCTCAGTAATCCAAATCACACATCCAGTGAAAATTCATGTGGACATACATATATTTATTATATCAATGTACGGTAATTTCCAAATAATTGATAATTAGTAAATATGGAGTGAGTTTTTCTTTTAATCAGCAAATGCAAAAAATGTGGATGTTGTGCTTTACAGCAGATAACTTATATACGTCCTAAATTGTCATTTTATTGTCAGTCTGTGCTGGAATTCAACAAAAACTCTAACTCAAGAACAAATATTCCTTAGTGGAATACTTTCATGATGAAGTTGCAACAGTTAAGGAAATAATACTTTCATGATAGGATTCTATGTACTTATAGTAATCTACAAGTTCAGCTGTTCCTTATTGTGATTCCTTATATGTATGTCAAATATTAAAGATAAATTTGAAGCAACTAGGCCTAATTTTCAAGGTTACTGTCTACAGAAAATCCTATCATGAAATTTTCAATCGCTCTATGAAAAAAGAACCAATAGTATTGAATGTTTATTCAGCGATACCTCCATCATAGTTTTTGTATTATTCCTCATATAACTAGAAATCAGTTTCATAACTCGTAAGGTCTGTGGGATTTTGCATCAGTTTTTATGAGATCATTCTGCGTCGAAAATAGACATAAAGCAAAACAGAGATGTAACACTAGCATACTGGAGAGAAAACTTGAACATTTTACACGAATTAACTTTGTAAAATACGCGTCCAAAAGAATTTAAATATAATTTCATTTTCTGGCTGAACGTAACCGCATAACTATATAGAAATTACTAATTTCTGACGTCTTAGCCACAATGGTCGTCTTTCTCAAGCTACAAATCAAACTGACAATGACTTACATAATTAGTATCGGGTTATGCAGGTGCTAGATTGATTTATATAAAAAAGAAACTCTTTTATATATATATAACTCTCAAGTCGTCCTCCAATAATGAAATATCACTGTTTTGCTCAAAAGCAAAAACTGGTAAACTGATATGCTCATTACATTATTACAAAAAATATGATACATCCGATGTACAGATACAAATGGGTTCACTTGCATCTGAAGGAGTTACCTTACCTCCCATATATGTCCTGTAAAAACTAATCGTACATACAGTACCAGCCATATTTGGAGTAACAGGGATCTGGTCCTAAATCAGTTAGGGGTAAGAGAGGGTTAATCATTCATTTAAACCAGTGCTACTAATTCTCTGAAGAATCATATGCTTCAACCAAGCAGCTTAGCGTTCGATACAAACACATTCTGTACTTGTTGAGAAGCAATATTCCATATTTAATAACTCGTTTTCTCTTCAAAAGATCCTACGATCAAACCAAGGGCAACAAAATATACAGGGTATCCAAGATCAGGATCCTATGCATGAGGATCTCAAAACTTGTGGATACAGCTTAGGTTAAACTAGGAGAAAGCTGCGTTCTTTGGGGAGTATTTACATGCCGTTGAGATACCTGTAAAAATGTCATTGCTTATTTGGGAAAAACTCAAATTAGACCAAATTTTTTCCGACTTTATTTTAAGAAATATCAACAAACTAATGAAACTTCTCCAATGGCACTTTTTAGGTGTTTTTAAATTTTGTGCCTGATGCTTCGTGTTTGACAAACCATCATCAATTTCATTTTTTATATAGTACGAGAAAAGTACACCCTGAATCTGATAGCATCTTTTTTCTACGAATTCAACGATGTATTACATGGGGCAACATTTTATAAAATGCTGCTTGATTAGTAATAATAACGAATGTATTTTTAACATTATTTTTATTTTATTCACAATAGGTGTTCGATTAGGTTGCCATTATTTTCCAAACATAAATATGACCTTCTAAGTAGTAGAATTCCGTGCACATTCACATAACTGCTGCTCTGTTTAAAAAGTATGCTGATAAACTTGGTTTTTTGATAAAACCCCAAACAATAAAGTGGAGTGAAATTCGAGCAACGCGCTGGCCAGGACACTTTACTGGAGGCTCCAGTCCACCTTCCGGGAAATCGCTGTGAAAGATACTCTCGAACTTGCGTAGACTTATGAGTAGGAACACTGCCTTATTGAAACCAACTGCTATTACCCTGTGCCAAAGGTAAATTATCCAGGCAGTCTTCTAGATTATGTTGCAACGATTACAGGTACCGTTCTGCAGTTAATGAGTTGTGGTAAATAAGAGGATCTAATATTTTGATCCCCAGAATTCCACACCAAATATTAAACCCAGAACGTTCTTGATGTCTGGATACCTTTATAGTTCGCAGATTTTCTTGAGGGGGATATTTATTTTTACGAAAAATAAATTGGGCTGTGGATTTAGCTATTCCTATTCTCGATTTGCCTAGTTCATATCATGGAGTTCTCATCAACACTATTCTGTCGACTTGAAGAAAATGGACTTACTCACCTGCCTTCTTTCTGGAAATCTATCAAGATACATTTCTACAGTATCTTTAGTATTTTTGTAGCAACTGTAGAACGTCAGCATGCTGAACTCTTCTTCATTGCTAAAATGACCGTCTGGCAGCTTTGATGATAATAAAGCAATATTAACGTCAAGTCAAGACTTTGTTTGCAACGCCTAATTAAAAAAAAAGAAAATCAGAAAAAAAACGCAACCAAGGAATTAAATATAACATGCGACACATCGTTGAACTCAAATAAAAAAATGCTATTAGATACAGGGTGTACTTTTTCAGATTATATAAAAGTTGACGATGGTTTCTCAAAATCGAACCGTCCGGCACAAAATTCAAAAACACCATCATGTAGTGCCTAAAAAAGTGCCAATGGGAAAGTTTCATTTCTTTTTTGATATCTCGCAAAATTAAGTACAAAAAAATAATAAAAATCATTTGATAAAATTTTAATATTTCCCAAATATTTCAAAAAGCCATGAAATTTTTCATGTTTCTCAACATGAAAATATTCCCAAAGAACGCAGCTTTTTCCTAATTTAACAAAAGATGTATCCCCCACAGGTATTGAGATCCCAATGCATAGGATCCTTATCTTGGACACCCTGTATAGGCCACCTGTGTGTTCTGTATAACTGCCTGTTATCACAACTCACAATTGCAGTCAATATGCAGAATGAAAAAGAACCTAATCCTGGCAATACTGTTATAACGTCTTGTCAAACACATCTAAGTCATAACATAACGTCCATGCATGACCAGTACTGTAACATTACTCGAACAATAAATGTAGGACTACACTGTAACTTCTATGAAACGATATATCGCGCACATATGTTACAATACCACAAACCTTGCATATATCTAAACCTAAAAGTAACATTCAGAAAAAATAATAGGAATAGTGGTACGTACATTCTGTTCAGAAAAGTCCATGAGTGAGTGTAAACGCACGTTGAGCTTGCGCTCTACTTTACCGACCTAGCGAAGTAGGATCCGTAGGAGGATGGGTGGCAAAAGAGTGTACTCTACCAACCTAATAAGCCGGAAGCTGGGGCGTTCTGTCCTTTTTTTGGTCGGTATTTGTCAAAGGGGGGCGGAGCGCCCACGGAAATGGGCAGCAGGTCGCCAGGGCTGCGCGGGGACAGCGAACTACAACTGCTGCAGCCGTCGCTCTCGCTATCGTCGTCTGTTGAGAAGCTCGTTGAAAAAAGGGCGCTGAAATAAAGCATTAATCATTGCAGGTAATGTTCATTTCATAAAAATGAAAAAGTTTCTGGACGCTTGATGACTGATACTGCTATTGACAAAAATGGCGTCAGGTAGGTCGACTCTATACGAACATGTGCAACAGAATAATTAAACGGATTTAAGTCAGTCAAAGAGGCCCATACAATAAGTCCACAAACATTCTTTCCCTGCCTTACCGGTAGTTTTGAAGACTCAATGTTAAGAGTTCAGCTACTAACAATTGTTAAAGAACATATGGCTGAATTCAAAAATATAATATTGATGAGCTAGCAGGAGCCCAAAACAAAACTGTCCTTCGCCTGCCCCTGCATCACTGCGAGCTCAATCCCATCAAGCTAATATGGGCGGACGTCAAAAACTTTGTATCTCGGCATGAGGCTTTGAAAAGACTTAGAGCCGATAAATGGGTAGAAGTGTGTTCGGCATATCACATCAAAAGTCGAGACAAAGATGTGGGAGCTGGACATCTTGGAGGCACAAGTCGAGCCACTCATAATTAATATTGGCAAAAGTGATACCAGTGATGAAGATGAAAGTTTCTCAAGTTCTTGAATTTAATTCACAGGCATTTTTTTATCCTTATAATTGTACATATTATCACCTCCGTTGTCGAATTATACTTGTGCTGGAACCGCCTGGCTTTCCTTTTGTTGTGGTATAAATACATATTTTCAATTATTAAATTATTGCGAGGGGTTAATTGTTTTCGATCATTCAATAATTACCGCGTTATACCAACCTCAACACCCCGCTAGTCTGCCGAGTCCGGCAGTTTTCCTGCTAGCGATGCTAGAAGAAGAGTTGCAATCTAACACCCATCGGTTACATCAGCAAGTCGTTATCACTACCAAGTATTTTTTTAGCGGCATTTTGCTTGTGAAGCATGTTTAACTAAGTAATAGCATCTGTGATCAACAAGATGTTGGAATCATTAATTCATCGCAAGGCGCCCCTGAATACGTCCCTGTCTAATTCAGGCGTCATACGACTCTGTTTACATCACTGTATCTTGGGGTTAGATGGACTTTAAGTACAAACATAAAAAATAAAAACAATGTTTTATCAACACACGAGGACGTGAAATGAGGAAATCCAGCAATCAAGAACCTTCAGCAAAAATTGTAACATCTGTGGTAAAACAACGAGCCATTGAAGTGTGGAAAAAGGCTTCAGTCCCAACCACGACTGAAGCAAGGATGAGTCAAGTTGCGCTATCTTAATGTGATGGCAAATGAAGGCAAATTTTAAAAAATCATTATAGAAAACCTAAAAGTAAATCTTTGGAGAAGATACATACTCGTAACTTTATTTCCAGTCGACAAATATTTTTTATATTACTGTGCGCCGCTATCACATTAGCTGCATTGAGTGATGTATTGAAGAAAGAAAGGTTAACTGAACCGAATATATTAGCCTGCTGGACCTTCAAACAATTTTCCACTTAATAGAAAAGAAACACAGTTTGGATTTTTTGAATGCAGTAGGTTATGACGGAAGTAATGTTGATACTAGACGAAAAAGTGGAGTTAGTGTCTTGCTGGGAGAGCATCGTTACAGGGCTTTCGTTGGACAAACCACTGGATCTCCTTCGTCTACTGCACCAACTGAAGCAGCAGGTTGTGTTGCAGATATCCAACCCCCTGGCGGATTGCTGCTTTTTTATATTTTCAATAAGATTAGAAAAAACCTTTTTCAATTATTTCAGTAATATACTTTTATAACTTAGCTATTTAAAATATATTATGCAATAAAAAATTGTAAAACTAGAAACTATATGAGGCGTCAAGTTGCAAAACCCGCCTTATTCATTTTTCAAAATAAATTGGGATAGTAAATAACATTAATGGTAGACCTTGATTCTTCATAAATACAGCCACATATACTATAATTTATATCTAAATATGATATTTTTGATTTTTCAAACTTCTTGAGCTAGGCAAAAATATTAAACAATTGCAAAATGCAACATTTGGTTACTATTACATGTTATTAAAAAGAAGCCCTTGTTTCCTCCATGCGTTGTGACACACTCTATTATTGTACATGTCATATAACACCCAAAAAACATATCTGATATTCGAAATTTTTCGAAATTACAATACCATCCATTTACAATGCCTGTAATATTTCGTGCAAAAAAAAACGAAATGAACGTAAAATTTCGTAAAAATAAAGGCTTTGGGAAAACAGGTTACTCTGAATTTCTGAATCCACAGCAATTGTGGATAGATTCAATTCATTGATCCAGTCAGAATATTGCTAACCCAGTAGTGATTTTGGCTTATGTTTATGTCAAAATACAATATTGGCATCTATGACAATAAACACTTCATTAACACATGGTATGGTGTGTATTTGCTGTGTATTTGAAGATATTGCAGCAGGACTATACCGTGAGGCTATAAGGCAATACAAAGTATAAGTAATGTACAAATTACATACTTGTGTTTGAAGAAAAAAAAATCACCTTTTTATGGCTGATACAGAATTGAGCGACGAATCGAAATCGAAGCAGGTCTTTCCTTTTCTGACAGGAGCGGGGCTACTAGTTAATGGTAAGCCAGTTCTCGAATGGAACACCATGGATGCAGCATTATCCAAATTCTTCCTAAACTTAGCTTGCTCTGATGCACTTGGCACTCCCACTTCCTTAACTAAAAACATCAAATTACGTTAAATGTTTACTCAAAAACCATGGCAATACATACCAGGTGTTTCAAATTCAATCCTCACCATTGGGATCTTAGAAACCGTAACAGATATGAAGTGGCTTAAGTAGGGGCAAAGTTGCAAAGACGGAAGAAAAATAAATTTCCCAAAATCGTTTCATTTTTTTCCTGGCTTTATTTGTAATGAGATGTCAAAATAAATTACACATTAACGTTGTCACTTTTTTCCTCTACAATATTGTGTAATGAGAATTTCAATGTGATGTTTCGTCTCTTGACCTCCAGCATCAAACCATTTTTTCTTATGGATGCCATATTGGATTTTTACACAGGTGAATAGTTTTTAATTCTGATTTCAAAAATGTATAATATGTCATACTTTGACACTGTCCTTAGTTATTAAAAAAACAGAATTTCCTAGGTAGGCCTTGAAATTATCAGTTGGTGATTTATTTCTTATTCCAGATGTATAGCAAAATTATTTTTTTATTTTTCCTGACTCCTCTTAAGATGGAATTTCAAAGTAAATTACGTGGTGTCAGTTACTTTTTCTGCTCTACCAGATGACGTAGTCAGATTTTCAATTTGAGCTTTCCTATTTCAACTTACTTCACCTCCTGTTTGTTCATATGGTCGCTATAATGGGATTTTGTGTACTTGAAGGAAGTTTTCAGTGCTAAATTCAGTGATATATTTCCTTAGTTGGCCATGAATTTATTATTGGAACGAAAATTATAAGGAAATAAAAAGTTTGGTGAAACCTGAACACGAAATAAAAATTTTATTGATGGAAATAATAATCATAAATAAGCAGAAGTAAATTATGTTCAAAATTTTGTATGTTATTTTGTAGGCGATGCCTGACAAGTTCACTGATTGGTTTATTTCTCTTCTTATCAGTCTTCTAAAGTCTGTTACCTACTATGTTCAATTTTAGGTCTGGTCTGGCATAGGAAACAAATGGCTATGTATCTGATCATTTCAAGGCCTACTTAGGAAATTATATTTTTCTGAAATGACTTAAGTTTGTAAATTTCAATGTATGGCATATCATACATTTGTGAAATCAGAATCACAAACTCCATCTAAGTACAAATCAAATAGAGCGTGTAAAATAAAAAATAAAGTTGATGCTGGAGAACAAGAGGCGAAACGTCATATTGAAATTCTAATTATGCCATTTTTTAGATAAGGAAAAGTAGCAATGTTAATGTGCAATTTATTTTAACATTCCTCTACAAATAAAGACAGGAAAAAATTAAAACGATTTCGGAAAATTCGGCTATTTCATCTCTCTCCAGATGTACTTTAAATTTCGAAGCTTACTAAGCAGCATTTAGTTAATTACCTAAATAAGAAACTTTGCCCCCATTTAAGAGACTTCGTATACCTTACTGTATCCAAAATCCCAATGGTGAGGGTCGAATTTGACACACCCTGTATACCGTCTTTAGGAGTAGCATTGCGGCCTCTCGAACTTTGTCGCACGTCATGGGATTGCCTTTTCATTGTTGAGAAACTCTTAAGAATGTGAAATCTTAGGTAAATTAGGAAGGAGATGGTTTATCTTTCCTCGGAAGGTTGATATGTTTATAAATCAACAATTTTGGAGAATGGAGTTTCTTATACTCTTACTTGTGAGGGAATTACTGCAAACCTACTTGGCAAGGAATTTATATGTGAACGCGCAAATACAGCATAGGATTGGGAAGCTTTCTGGAGAACACGTTCATCACTGATGTCGGCGAGGGAGCATTTAAGAACTCATACGTTAATAAGAACAATTTTGACTAGCAATGATTGCACCAATAGTTTGAAGAAGATATGTGATTACAAAAATATGGACACACCCAAATATCTCGGAAACTAAAAAATTTTACATAGAAAAGTTTTAGGAAATCATCTAATGGTGTTCTTGAGCCTGACGTTGACATTCACTTTGAAGGTCATTCCAAGTTGATTTTTTCAAATTGGAATCTCCATTCTTTTATTGGGATAGAATGGTACCCTTAGTACTCGTTCATAACTGTTGGGTTTTGGAATATTGAAAATTCCTCTTTAAAACCTTCACTGGCCGGATTAGCCTGTATATCTTGAAGAATCAGTCCAAAATCTCTTTTTTCACTTGTAAAGATAAAATAGGACATTTGACGTTGAAATAAACTCCAGGTGTGAATTTATCTCGGTTAATTAAACGTTCCAACATTAAATTTTTCTCCACTTTCAGCACTGGAATCAAAATTGAGGGTTTCTATGTGAAAAAGTCAAGTTGTCCTTGAATTGACCGTTGAGGTCATAGCGACGGTCAGTATGAGTTCACCATCAAATGTGCCATTTTGTGCCCTGTAATTTTCGGATGAAAAGTTCTTTAATATTCTTCTTTTTCCAGCTATCCGCTGCTTCACAACATTAAAAAAAAGCAACAATTGACCTTGAAATAACCTCTAGATGCAATCGTACCACCTTTGTTATTTATACTGTTGAAAAGGAATTTTTGGGCGTTCTATTTCTGCAATAAAAAATGGGGTTCGTATTTGAAAAAATCGACTTGCCCTTGAAATAACCTTCAAGATGAATGTCAACGTCAAATACATGGTCTCCACTACGTGCGAAATTTGTATCTAAAGTTTTTTCTAGCACCTTTAGTTTTCGAGATATTTAGGTGGATCCATACTTTTGGGACACATCGATAATTTCCACGTAAATATTGCCTACTCACCTTCCTCCTTTATCTTCTCTTTCTTCTCTGGTTTGAGATCATCAAATGTTATTTTCTGTCGGACTGTAGAGTTCTTTAATTTTGCAATATCCACGTTGGATATTTCTCTCATCTGTTTGTGTCGAAGTATAGGAATCGGCGTATCACAATGCTTATCTACGTATATATTGAAATTATTCTTCTGTCTAATACTAAAAATATCACGATCGCTCGGTTTATCACATTTGGCATTATCACTTTCATCCATTGCCTTTTTATTGGCGCCACTCCGTTCTATGGCCTCCAGCAGAAGCTGGCCCTTGTCCTTCGAGAGATCATCATCAGAATCTGAGTCCAGTAGTTCCATCAGATTTTTAACCCTCTGGTTCACCTGTGGACTGAGGTTCTTATTTTCACAGCCATTATGAACCTAGGACAAAAATTTGGTTATAAAATAAACCTGAATTAATATACTGAGTGACCAAAAAAGGTAAACTCCTACGTATGTTTGTTAGAATTCAAGAATTTTTTACATATCGATTTATCTTGCCATGAACAACAAGTGATAAAATGGTCAGGTTTTTCTGATAAGTTTTTGTGGTGGCTACGTGCATTATTTGGTGATAAAGAAGCATTCAGTTTTCGTATAGTTACGGTGTCAGTTAACCGTTTGCTCTGGTGTAGAGAAAGAGTTCTATGGAACCGGGAATGGAATCAGGTGGTCTTTAGTGACGAATCACGCTTCTGTCTGGGGAAGCACGATGGTCGAGCAAGAGTGAACAGGCGACGTAGTGAAAGAAGTGACCCATAATTTGACAGAGAACGTCACGTTCACCACACCGTGAGAGTTATGGTATGTGGTGCTATTGCTTATGGAAGCAAATCACCACTATTGTAATCAGAGGCAATATGACAGCACGACGCTATATTCAGGAAGTAGAGTCTCATCTTATTCCATACCCAAACACCATCCAAAACCCTATTTTTCAGCAAGACAATGCCAGACCGCGTGATGCCAGAGCATCGATAGCCTTCATGGATCAACAACGCATCAACCGTTTACCTTGACCACCACGATCGCCTGACCTATCGCCAATTAAACATGTCTGGGACATGATAGGTCGCAGGCTCTTGAATTTGCAACATCCCCCACAGACTTTAGTAGCTCTTATTCACAAAGTTGCAGTACCCTGGAATGATATACTCCAACAGGATATCGACCACCTTATCAGCACGATGCACAGGCATGTCAATGGGTGTATAAGAAATCGTGGATCCTTAACACATTACTGAACCAGCTTCTGCAGTCAGTTGAGCTGAAAATTTAATCGTTTTACTAGTGAGCGACACTGAACATATATGCCAAAAATTATTAAAATCGGATAAACATACGTAGGTGTATACATTTTTTTGTCACTCAGTATATTTGTATACATTTGCGGCAAGATTTTTACTATTGGTAGAGTACCATAGAAACGCTTAAAACTAACTTTTTAACCACCAGTTCCTTGCGATCTTGATTCTTGAATCTAGTGTGAAGTATATTCTCAAATACAGTCTAAAATAATAATAATATTTATTCGCCAAAATACATTATTAAACATAGACAAATAAATATGAAAAATCCATGTGTATATGTAGTTTTAGTTTTTTATATAATTATGTATAGTCATTTGCTGCACAGTACAAACCCAGTCTTTTAATTTTCGTCTAATTTTTTTCCCCAATTTAAGCGTCTTTATTTCTTTTGGTGCTACATTATACAATTTAGCTGCTAAGAATTTAAACGATTTCTGAACAATGTTTTGTGTGGTCTTTGGATATTAGATAAGCTTATTCTAAATCGTGTGTCATGCTCGTATTTATCGAAATTTCATTCACATCATGTTTATGGTATAGGATGGTGGCATGTAAGAAATAAAGTTGCCTAGTATCAAGCATCCCTGTTACCTTATATACATTGTTTGACGGATATAATTTCTGCTTATGGAAAACGAACTTTTTATGCTACATCTACTTATTTTGAATAACCCTGTACTGAGTATTCAAATTGTAAGAGATTTTGACAGTCTGTGTCCGACCTGAAAGGATTGTGTAATAGTATTTGTGATATTCCCCTAAATCTTTCTTTTTGCTATATTCGACAGTACTGATACGGGTCTAAAATTTGATGTTTCCATCTTGCGGCCGCTTTTATAAACAGGAGTGATAACTGTTGTTTTAAATGCATCAGGACAATTTACAGATTGGAAACACTAATTAATGACGTTATTATCTGCTCTACAGGTTCTCGCCATTAATGAAAGATGGTAAAATGCCTGCAAAGGGTTGGTGGTTTAATAATTACCTTCTCCAACAAGGAACTTATGGAATTTAATCAAAACTAAATAATTCGACACAGAAGAAATCTATTAGACATTTTTTTACAACGAAGCAGCCGCGCAGGCAGAAGGCTAAATACGAGGGCACCGCGGCTGCTACGAGGAGCTTGAAGAAACTTTGTTAATCCGATTGTTGAACTGCCTAAGTTTAGTAGAACTGGGATATGTCTCTTCAGGTAGATTGCTCCACAATATCGACAGCCTAGGTATAAAGGAGCGGTCGTATGGGCCAGTTCTGGATGTACAAAATTCGACACGATTAGGATGGGAGGCCGCAGTCAGGCGGGTCTGTCTGGCAGGCACATCGCGCGGCGGTATCATGGAGGAGAGCTTTGAGGAGCAAACCCCATTGGCGTAGCGGTAGAAGAGAGCTAAGTCGCCGACAGCCCGCCGGTGCAAAAGAGTTCCAAGACTGTCCGTTAGAGAAGTAATACTCGAGGTTAGGTCTCATCTGGGCCTTGTACAGAGTGAGGAGGTCATGTGGAGAAGAGTACTTCTTAGGCCCATATCGTCTGTCGTTCCTACAATTGTATGGCGCGTTTATGGCCTCCTTGATTGTCATACTCCTTTCTCTCTTTAAAAAATGTCTAGATTGCACCTGTCCCGTGTCAGCGTCAGCGCTCTCCTATTGTGAAGATATGTTTTCTTTTTAATTGTAGGAAATTTCAGGCTGATAAAACATGATATAACTCAAAAGCAAGCACAATTTGACGCAAATAGATATTTGAGACATAACCTCATAATAGAGCGCTGACACCGAAAAGTAGAAAACTATGACAATCAAGGAGGCCATAAACGTGCCCTACAATTCGGGCCTTAGGCCCATATCGTCTGTCGTTCCTACAATTGTAGGGCGCGTTTATGGCCTCCTTGATTGTCATACTCCTTTCTCTCCTTCAAAAATTTCTAGATTACACTTGTCCCGTATCAGCGTCAGCGCTCTCGAATTGTGAAGATATGTTTTCTTTTTAAATTGTAGGAAATTTCAGGCTGATAAAACATGATATAACTCAAAAGCAAGCACAATTTGATGCAAATAGATGTTTGTGACATAACCTCAAAATAGAGTTCTGACACGGAGAAGTAGAAAACTATGACAATCAAGGAGGCCATAAAGGCGCCCTACAATTGTAGGGACGACTGACGATACGGGCCTTAGTCCTAAACAAATAACCTAGCTTTTTACCAGCAGCGGCCGTTGAAAGATCAAGTCTTCGATGATCTGGACTCCGACCAGCCGAAATGAACGGCTCTTTGGTAGAACTCGACCATCCATCAAAATCGGATGAGCGCTCGTACAGTTTTTGTTCATCAAGGTACAGCACTGTTTTAGAAACATTAAACTGTACAAGACTGTTGCGTCCCCAAGCAGTGATAACCTCCAGGTCTCTCGTCAGAGAGGAAGTCGTTGCTAGTCTTCTTAACTCCAACTGACCGACAGAGATCAGCTTGTCACTCTGAAGTTCTGCATGTAGCGTGCCGTCTTTAGCAAAGCTGTGGATTGGATTGATCGCACGGAAAAGCAAGTAAATAAGACATATATCCAGAAGACAGAGATACGAGTTCCATGTGATAGTTCGCATACTAAAAGAAGGAAATAAATGGAGTTTGAAACAAACTATGTTGGTTGAGAAATTTACGGCAACGGGCGTCATATAAAACGATTGTGAGCAATGCAGTCGCCAACGTAAAGTAAGGACATAAGAGAAGAATGTTTAGATATTGTATTCTAACCTCTATTGTCTATACGTGAACGACTCCGCCTAAAATTCTTGCTTACTTTTAATTTTGGTTTAGTCAATCTGCTGGTGGAAGCTTCACAGGCACTTTTGTTATTCTGGCACAATCTCTTGATCAGTTGCGTGTTAACCTTAATTCGTTCATCTTCCTCGAAATCTTCACACCGATGTTTTCCTTTTAAATTACATACAGGATGCATTCTGTCGTCCAAAACCAATCTGTCCAGGTCCATACTACACGGCATCTATAACATACAAAAATGTTCATTTTAATTGTTGATTATCAAGATCTTTTTGATTTCGATGATACAACTGGAGTTCCGACACTACCTTGCCACTACCATGTATCCCTCCTTTTAAATACAAAACAAAAATGCAGGGGTTCATATTCCAGGTTTTTTGGTTTGTTCCATTCTGAGGTAGAGAGTGATTCAGAGAATAAATGGCAATACCCCTACAGCAGAAGTTTTTCCAAAATAACATAAAAAGTTAAAATAAGCCCTAAATCAAGAGTTCCCAACCAGGGGCGCGCCTTCCAAGGGGGCCATAGAGAGATGTCAAGGGGGGCGGAAAGCGTTTGCATTTTAGAAATAAAAAACAAAAAAAAAACAAACAACATTAACAAATAACATTACAATTACTGTTTAGTTTACACGCATAAAATTAGAAATTAAATATCATATTCACTTATTCTGTCAACCGCTGTTTCAAAACCCGGCGTCGTCAATCGCAGTTATACAAGTTTCGACAAGTCACAACATGAAATCCGCGCGCACCCCCGCCAACATTCATTACCTACTTAGAAAACAATTGTGTAGCTACCAGACGAGGATGAGCATCTGTGACATCCATTCCCACAAACTTGCGAAAAATTTTACCTTTCTATGTACATGTTTTGTTGAGGAATCTGTACTTATGTGAAACAGGCTTTTCTGCTCTAGTTTTAATTAAAACTAAACAGCGAAAAAAACAGAACCTAGAATCAACCAACTGCTACAGAATATGCAATCTCAAGTGTCTCATTAGTACCTACTCTTATTTTATTCAAGTTTTTCGATAAAAACATTTATGGGCCTATATAATGTGCGTTTTTTTGTATTTATTGAAAAAGTAAAGGGGGCATGAAAATATAATTTTTAGTCCGGGGAGCCTCAACAAAAAAAATGTTGGGAAACCCTGCCCTAAATTGACCTATTACCAAGATAGAGGATGTTGGTGTTTCTCATTTATAGGAAAGTGAAAAACTTAAAATACACGTTTTTGGACGCAAAATGTTGATATTCAAACAGAATAAGCGTTCCAGAAAACATTCCTCTTTGTGGATAATTTCAAATGACAGAACATTTATCTATTTTATTTCTCTTTGTAGATCCTTTGGGCTTGAAGTTTCTCAGCAAGTGGTTATAACCGACCGCGTGGTTGTGATTAGATGTCGCCTTGAAAATTCGAGATCTTCTAGCCATTTTATACTACAATGTATAGGTTCTAAGTTCTAAAGAAGAGTCTAAAAGGATTACCTGGTTGCATGAACCCATAATCACTCCTATCCTTTTCTTTTCTCTTCGCAAACAATTGTCGCACGTGATATCAGGCGGTACTGCAACGCCGCTTCTAGGTACGCTAAAGAATGACACGTTCATCACGCTGCCGTCTCCGAGATTAGTGGCGGGGAAGTCGTGCTTGATAGCTGAAAGATAGAACTTAGGCATAGCCGCTGACTTCCCTGGAGCGCACAGGTGGTACTGGAAGTTGTCTTCTGCGATCCGGGAACCCGAGCTGGATTTGTCTTGGGTCGTCAACCAGGCAGTGATCTGGGAAAAGTACAACTGGGAACGGATCGCGCTGACTAGTTGCAGAAGTGTGAACAGAGGTGGTGGAGAATACGATGATGAGTCGATTGATCTGTAACAGAAAGTAGATGAGATTGGTAATGGTCATGTTAGAAAGGAACTTCTCGCAGAGCAGCCTTCCACCACTTACGTGCCACGATGGAACAATTGCAAGCGATTCAAACGCTAAGGTGGACGTGCTTGCCAACTCCACCATGCACGTCCCTCCAACGCCCGAGTGCCGTCGAGGGTTCCCTACACTATGCGGGAAGTAACATTTAGGTATAAGCCCACAAGACGCGTGCTGTTGTCGCTAGAAAACAACAAAGCTTCTGGTCTGGACTCCTTCCATTGTAATAAAGAGATGTGCAGCGGAGCTTGCTGCAGTTCTTTCGCGTCTCTCTCAGAAAACTGGAAATTTACACCATACCAAAAAAGGATCTAAGACCGACCCTCACATCTACACGCCTACAGCTCTGCTTTCTGTTATAAGGTTGGAGAGGTGCATAAATCGGGAGCTTCCGGAGTACCTAGAACGTCACGGCTTGATTAGCAACAGGCAGTACGGTTTCCGGCACCAGCGATCCACAAAGGACCTCCTAGCTTACTTCGCGCAATCGTGGAGTAAACTCATCCAGTCTTCTGGTGAGGCTCATGTCGTTGCTCTTGATATCACTAAAGCGTTCCACTCGGGCCGCAAGATATCCGTTGTAAGTCATTCCACAACGACATTGTTCCTCTTACATATCAACGACCTTCTTTCCTATACGGTCAAACCAATCCACAGCTTTGCTGTTGTCAGGACTCTACATGAAGGAATTCAGAGTAGCTAGCCGATATCTGCTGGTGAGCTGGTGAAAAGAAGACTAGCAGCGACTTCCTCTCTGACAAGAAACCTGGAGGTTATCGCTTCTTGTTGACGCAACAATGTTGTACAGTTTAATTCTCTCAAAACACAGTATTGTGCCTTGACGAACAAGAAGCGTCCTATCGCTCATTAGGTTTCGACGAATGGCCGAGTTCTAACAAAGAGGCGTTCATTATGGCTGTCCAGATCACCGAGGACTTGGATCAGGCACGAACACATCTCCTAAGTAGCGGCTACTGCCGCTCGATGTTATTCAGAGGAGGGATGTCTGACTGATCGATGACTCTTCAGTAACGGACAGTCTCGGGCCCTTTCGCCTGTGCCGTACTTTAAATGTTTCTTTTTAATTTTATCATATTATACGAGGACGTAAAATGACACATTTTGGTATAAAAACTTATTATATTGCGCTATCCAGTGGCGTCCCTGCAAAATGTGTTGTGATAGCTAAGAAAAAAAAATGGTACGCCAATGATATCTTTCATCTGAATATTCCTTCTCCTTAGTAGTTACCATGTTGTCGTTTTAATTCAAACCGGATTATCTGAGAATAAAATAACAGTAAGTTTAATGAACAACCAAACCAGATAAATATTCACTTTGCTAAATATCAGTGGCATACCAGTTTTTTGTAAAAAAACATCACGTTTGCAGGGACAGGGACGCCACTGGTGGCGCACTAGAATATTTTTTTACACTAAAATATGTAATTGTATATCCTCGTATAGGCCTTTAAGGCGAATGCAGAAGATTCAAAGTTCCAGTCCCGACATTGGCCAACTTTTCCTAAATGCAAAAATTCGATTATACGAATTGATACATCTGCTTCCATAATGAGAATTAGCAATTCGGGTGCAGTTTCTTCAATAGAGTCGAATATCATTATGCATGCGATATCTTATAACTGCTATATTTGCATTACCTTTTACTGATGCTAAAATGCCACTGTTCCAACATATGCACATTTTCCATAGATCCACCGGTGATGCCATTTATTTTTTTACATGGGCAGGTCAAGAGTACCTCAACGCACAACGGTACACTATTCCGACTGAAGTTTAAGATAGTCTTCTTGTCATTCTTGAATCTCATACACTGAAAAAAAAAACGTTCATAATCAGAACACATTTGCAAACCTACTTATGCATTTAAAATAACAGGACAGGAACGTATGCCTAATGCGCTTTTTGTCAATGACAAAAACTATTTCCATCGATTATTTTACAACATAATAAACGGTTTTAGTACAATGGATAATTAACGTAAAAATCCCATAACTCTACATTTAGGCAAAGTTTACAAAGGTCAAAGAAATAATGTGGTAATTTTAGCCTAATTACATACTAAAATTACCTCCTAAATGCCAAAATAATGGATGGTTTGAATTTTGAAGACTAAAATTGATACCTACATGGTTCAGCCGATTCACCTAAATTGATTTAATTCACATGGAATGGTATATCAAAAATCTAATGGAATTGATGATTCTTATAATGAAAAAATCTCGTACATTGATTGGGTTATATCGTTCACTTCTCAACCCACACTGTAGAATTAAGAATATTAGAGTAGAAAAAACTTTCTTAAAAAGTAAGTTATTAATACCACCCACTGACAGCCTTTGGATCGGTACTAACTATTCAGGTACCGTTTACCCTACAGTGTTGTCACACGAGACAGCTTTAACCTTTACAATTTTTTAAACAATAATTTTGTGAATATATGTCGCAAAGAGAATGCTCCTCGTCAAGTAATATTTTCAATGGATATATTCCAAATTATAGTCCAAGAATTATCTTTCATGTACAATGTTTGACGTCATCGCTATTTCCTCGGCCACATGCTTCTGCCAAAGGTCAAAAAATAATATTCCTTGATTTTCCAAACGATTTTTAGGCCCAATTAGGCTAATACGAACATCGATATATCATCTCGTTTCGGAACTCTATACTATTCAAAGTTCAGGCTGGGCCATTAAGTTGAGCGGATTTTAAAAAATCATAGAAAGAGCTGCAAAGCGTATGGAATATGATTTATATTTTTAATAAAGTAGATGCATGGGAATTTTATTTTTTTAAAATAACATCATTAAGATGTACGCACTCCTCGAATCTCGACTTCAAATTCGTGAAAACTCGCTGGCACGTCGCTCGTGGGATAGCGGACATCTCCTCGGAAATGTTGGTCTTGAGCTAGGCAATCGTCGTCGGTTTAGGCTGCGGTCAGAATGGCTCCGTTTTCGGCCGTGTACGCTTGATTCCTCCGATCGTTTTAATTTCTTGGTATTCTATTGACTTGGTCACAGTACATCCGATTTCGACCGATTAGTACGGCCAATTTTTTCGGACATCGGATAATTTGTTTTTTTTTTCGGAAGCTTCGGTGCATTTTGATGCGAATAATTTCATAAAAATGGTTGACTGTGAAATTTTAATTAGCCTAGTTTTTGAAAAAAAGAGTTTATGGGATATAAGAAATAAAAACTACCACAATAGACACATAACACGTAAACTGTGGAATCAAATTGCCTCCGACATGCAAACTACAAGTACCTAAGTATTCGATATTATATTCTTAATATAAACAGTTTGGAATAAAAAAAAGTAATGCGGTTTTGAAATACGTGCGTCTTTTTGGTCCACCCTGTATTTTTCCTAACTACCTTGGACTCGTACTTAGACGAGCTTGATGAAACTTCGGCATTTATTAAGACCTGGATAAGCGAAGCTCATAAACATAAACGAATTTGTCTTTCAAAAGGCCCATTTCTAGAGGAACCATTAGGAGTTTACATGTCCATAGAAATCGTCTTTTAGGAAAACATCTATCTTTTATTTTTTCGTACTTTGTGGATATTCTGTACAATATCAATTGACAGACGGTAGGGGTAAGTGACTTAAACTGGACCTCCCTAAAGCGGGCCCCTGGATTCATTGGCTCAGGAATCTACCACCCAGTACTGTTGGACCAGCGAAAGATTGCAAGCCGAAAGAATGCGGACAAAAAATTGCGAAGTTGTCAGATGTTCTACATAAAATGCGGTCCATACATATTAACATATTTAAGATATAGAATTGTTCCGCTGAATTTGGCAATGTAGCTGGAAAACCCAGGCCGCAGGTAAACATCCGGTCGCTGATTGGTCCAAAACTCTTATCTTATCTGAAACTAGAATAACGTGCCGATGGCACGGTCATTTATAAACCTACTCCCATAGGCGTAGGCAGTTGGCAAATACTTTGAAAATATAATTTACTGTTTAGTGGTGATAATGGAATTCAAGCATGGGAAAGTTATTCACAGCCAGGCAAGGGAAATAATAGCAAACGTGATACGTGCTTGCGATGCAGAAGCGGCTAACAATACTTTCGTTTATCCACTGGTAGCTAGAAATGCAAGGGCGGCATATTATACGGGTGTTAGTGAACGAACTATAAGTAAAATTAGAAAAGAAGATAAAGACAGGCAAAATGCAACCTCCACACAGCCTTTAGCTTCTCCCGGAAAAAAGAGATCACGCCCTTCTGTGATCCAAAAAATTGATGGAGTCGATTTTTCCATTATTCGGAGAATGATAGAAAAATTTTACTGTGATTTTAAAGTGGTACCTACTTGTAGTAAACTTCTAATCAAACTGAAGGAAGAAATGGAATTTCCATTTGGTAAAGAATCGTTGAGGCTGCTTTTAAAAGCAAAAGGATTTTACTGGCGTAAATGCCACAACAAAAGGAAATTACTAATGGAAAGACCCAGTATTTTACATTGGCGATACAAGTATCTTAGGTCTATTAAAAAGTTCCGGGAAGAAGGAAGGCATATTATTTATTTGGACGAAACTTGGGTTGATAATGACCTCACTTTCAAGAAATGCTGGCAAAGCGAAGAAATTATGGGTGTCCTGAGCAATATAAGTTCTACAGGTAATAAAGTTTCTTTCACCTCGATTTTGCTTATTATACATTTTTCTCAATTTTGGAATATTCTTAATAAGTGCTCATTTAATTTGTCTAATTGAATACATAATCCCTTGCAAGTATTTTTTTCTCAAAAATATGTTTTTTATACATAGTGATTCAAAAAGGTGTTGGCAAACTTAAAATAACACTAAAATGAGGCTATTTATTCATTTCCAGGACGACTTATAATTGTTCATGCGGGTTCGCAAGATGGTTTTGTTCCTGGAGCCTGTCTCATTTTCAAGGCTGGCTGTGCCACTGGTGATTATCACGGTCAAATGAACCAAGAAAATTTCACGAAGTGGCTTACTGAAAAACTATTTCCTAACATTCCTCCTAATAGTATTATAATAATGGATAATGCACCTTACCATTCAGCTTTGGAAGACAAGCCTCCAACTAGATCTTCTCTAAAAAGAGACATCATCACGTGGTTGAGCAAAAAAGGTATAGAGCATGATCCTAATGCTAAAAAAATGGAGCTTTATGAAATAGCTTGTCTACATAGGCCACCATCTGATGAGAAAAATTATAAGATAGATAATTTAATAAGAAGTTTCGGACACACCCCACTTCGAACGCCACCCTATATGTGTCAGTTTAATCCCATAGAGATGATTTGGGCACAAGTAAAATTTTTCATTAGAAGCCATAATACAAGCGGCGAATTTACTATAAAAAAACTAGATGAAATTTCTAATAAGGCCATCGCTTCAGTAAGTGCCAGTGACTGGCAAAAGGTTATTGGACATGTTATAAAAATTGAAGATGAATATTGGGAAAAAGACAGTCTCATTCAAGAAATACAGGAAGAAATAATAATCAACATAGGAGGTGAAAGTGATAGCAATGACAGTTCCTCAGACAGTGATCATGACTCTAATCAGGATTGAAACTATACTAGATTGGCTACCTTTTAGAATTTTTAGATATTCATTTATTATACTATTGGTTTGTGGCTTTTAGTATCTCAGTAGAAAGTCTAATTCTATGTGTTGTTTATGGGTTATTTCATCAAGAAATTACTTTTTGTTTTCCTATATTTTTCTATTCAGTCAGATATTTTTGACTTGTTGTATTCTATTTTAGAAGAATGCATAATTTGTTTTGCTGTTCAATCATAATGCGTACATAGGAATATTACTTGTTGCCTAAAAAATATATTTATTTTGTTCTCAATATTCAGTGTTTGTGTATATTTATTTCTTATAATGTATGTTTGGTATCACGTCATTATGAATCGCAAAAAAATATTAATACTACCAGTTGTAATAAAATATAAATTCAATTAATAATTCAAGTCTCTCCGATCTCCGCCTATGACTCCATATAAAATCGTCTAATGGTAAGGTTTTTTCATCGCATTTCCCCCTTTCGTCCCTAGCAATCTTTGGCTGGTCGATCAATAGTGGGGTGCATATTTGCAGGTAAGCTTCTATATACTAAACATGATGATTTCGTCCATCCGAGCAAAAGACAGCCAATGCTTGGTCTCCCGTCAGCCATATAACGGTCACTAGGCGACTGGGCTAATTAATGCGAACTGAGGTCTGTGGTCGATTTTGGTGATAGATGGCGCTGTGTGATTAAGCTTCTATAAATGTTTCATTGAAATTTTACCGGATAAACATGTTCTTGGTTTTAGTTGCTCAAATCGGACTCCTTTCAGTTGCCTACCAGTAAACACCACTATCTTTTGAAATCCATTTATAGATTCCAAATGATAATAATCTAGAATATCTAAAGCTATTGACACCAAATATAGAGATAAGCAGGGAAAATGCAGGAAGCAGGAAAATAAGTGTACGGCTGCGATTTTGTTGCTAAATAACTGAAAACCATTTATCATTTTTTAATACGTCTTGTATTCGTTTTCAATAAAATCTGAATTAAACATTTAATATTTTTACTATGATTAATATGTATATGTTTTGGCACCTATATGTTTAATAATAGTAATAAACGTCTTTTTTTTTGAGGGCGAAGTTTAGCTTGAGGCTATTCTGCCACTTCACCATTGACAAGTACAAAAATAACAATTATAAACAAGCAAGTATATAATGTTGAAGTCACGGTAGATAATAAAAATGTAATTACACACATTAATGTACACTGAAAAGGAACAATTTTGCGAAGTGA